ATGGCCATGGGTTAGGGTGGGGGCCTCGGGCAGCGGGGAAGACCAGCCCGGTGCCTCCGCCGGAGGGCGCGGAGCCCGAACGCCGCTCGCGGGCGCCGGGCATGGGGAGCGCGGTGTGAGCCCGCACCCCGGGAGGACGCCCGAGCCGCGGCGACGGGCCGAGGTGGAGGAAGAGCGCGTGGACTGGGAGGACCCAAGGGAGGAAGGGAGGGAGAGAAGGGAGGGTGGGGAAGCTAGGGAAAAGTGAAGCTGGGAGGAGAAGGCGGAGGAAGGTGGGGATTGATGCTTCTGTTTTTTGTTGCCGCTGCTGCCCTCGCGCTGGGAGCCGAGCCGGAGGGAAGGCGGTGGAGAGATGATTGCAGAGTTGGTGAGCAGCGCTCTGGGGCTCGCCTTGTATCTCAACACCCTAAGCGCGGATTTCTGCTATGATGACAGGTAAGGGGGTGAGAGGGAGGGGTGACCCCGAAGCTTCCCGCTTTAAGGCTGGAAGTGCCTCCTGGAGGAACTAATCCGGCACCTGAATTAGGAGGCGCGTCAACATTAACACCTTAAAGCAGGAACCGCCGGGACGCGAGCGCGCTGGGCGGGCTGGAGGAGTTTGGGTTCCTAGTTTGCAGCAGGTTCTCTCCCTTGACTCTTCGGCTGTTGGCAGACGTTTAAATTTCTTAGCGGAAATCGCAGCAATTTGGGAAACTGTTTAATGAACGCATTAAAGAAAAAGTCTTAGTTATTCCTTGGTGCAACAAAAGCACATTGAGTGATTTTACGTCTGGGTTGGGAAGCTGTTCCCCGCCCCCTAATAGATCTTCCCCGTAACGTTTCCGTTTATTGATGGGACGGACAATTTTATTTCCCGAGGGTAACACACACCTTTGACAGTTGCCAAAATAATGGAAAGAGGATCGTACTCTGCTTCAACTTTCCCTTTTAACGTGTAGTGTACTTGACTTGGAGCCAAGATAATGCTGCTGATGGTCTGCTCTCCCCCCTCCCCGCCTCCTCCCTCCCCTCGCCTCTTTCCATAATCGATGGAGTAGCACTTTATAAAAGCTTGGCTTTCATTTCTGTTTGTGAGTTTCACATTAGACATTAGTGATTCTTTTGTGCTAATTGGGGAAGAAGACGCCCCTAGAGACTGAAGTTGTCTTCTGCATTTGGGTTAGTTTGGGTGGCTAATGAGACCTGAACCGTGTTGTCAAAGAAACTGCATCGATTTCTGGAAAATGTCATAGTTGTGCTCGTGGCTCTACCTATTTTTTAAACGTTGTTAGTGTTTAGAAACTGATGAAAAGCTCCAATAGCCATTAGGGAAAATTCCAATTTGTGTCTTTCCAGTGATTTAATCTGATTACAATTAGAACAGATGCATAATTAAAATATATTAGGGAGAACAGCACGCCTGGCTAAACTTATTAACCGTCCTGGGGTGTTTCATGCTCCATTGGAATTAAACTATCCAAAAAGTGAGCACAGATTTACTTTGACAGCTTTTCAGCAGCCTCTCTGGGCTATGGAAAGCGAATGGTTCCCTAGGGTCAGGGCGAGGCAGTGAGTGAACTTAGGAAAAGAGGTTGATAGTGAGGGGAGGTGAAGGCAAAATCTTCTCCTGGTAGTAATTAGCCATGTTCTATATTCTCTGGTGTGCCCGCTCTCTGACTAAAAGCATGTTCATGGATGTATACCTTCAGTCAGCGAATTTTGGTTCACATCCACATGTCTATTATGAAATCCCCTGATAGTCCCTGCAAAGACATCCAGCAGACCCTTCTTAATGCATTTTATAGAGTGTCTATCAGAGGCTAGTTGCTAGGAAGCCCCTGTTAGACATAAACTTTCCCTCAATTTTTAAGCAATGTGCAGATCTTAGCAATTATGCTACATGCTCTGAGAAGTAAGTGGTCTGTGAGAGGGGCTGCTTCTGTTCCCTCCGATTTGGGGTTACAGTGCACCTGCTCTTTCTAGGGTAAATGGAAGAAAAATCTCTTGCTTCCAAAGACGGGTGACTTTTCACAAAATAAGTTCAGGGACAGATCTTGGGCAGTGACTGGCTCTGTTTGGGACAGTTCCAATAGTAAGCATTTATGCCAAGAATATACAGCTTATGAAAAAGTAACTTGCTGTACTATTGTAACTTTTATAGAACACTGTGGTAAATCTGGCATGCCTCTTGTATGCTACTGTTTTTTGCTATCTAGTTCTTTGAAAAGTACTTGTCAGAAGAAACTAGCCTGTAATGGTTAAGGCTGAAACTAAACTAAATTTTCAGGTACATTTTTTTCTATAGACTTAGTGCTTATTTTGTGTTTTTTGATCATCAATCAATTGCTAGGCCTTTGTAACTTTAAGGAAGAATGGTGCAAGTGTGATGATGAATTAGTTGTGCTTTGATGGTGGACAATTGCTATAAATTCTCTACATGCTATAGGTTGAAGGGGGTGTCAGATTTGCTAACCTCTACCTCGCTACTTAGATGAATTTAGTGTGATGATTTGCTCATATCATCTAGTTGATAGCATGCTCAGTATATGATATCTAGATATTATATATGACATGATATGGAGGGTCTGTAAATACAAATTATACTTTTGCTACAATTTGAAGTGTACTTGACTCTAATTTTCTAACTGGCAGACCTGCATATGCAATCCCATACTTCTGAGAGTATGAAGTCTTAAAAGTATCAAACTTGTGTGTTTGTTTTTTAAAATATATTTCTATTGATTTCAGGGGAAGGGAGAGGGAGAGAGATATAGAAACATCAGTGATGAGAGAGAATCATTGATCAGCTGCCTCCTGCATGCCCCCTACCGGGGATGGAGCCCACAACTCAGGCATGTGCCCTTGATCGGAACCCGGACGCCTCAGTCCACAGGCTGACCCTCTGTCCACTGAGCCAAACCGGTTAGGGCTAAACTTGGTTTTCATGTGTCTTGGTTTTTATGAAGTCGTGAAATACATATTAATAGGATCCTGGAACTTGGTGTCTGCACAGCATGTTCAGGTCATTCGGTGCCAAGGTGCACTGCAAGTTGTGGCTTTCAGATATGGTACTTTCTAACTACTCTCACTCACTAGGGTGTGAAGGGGGAAGAGGGCTGGCGAGGCAGTGGAAACTGTAGGATGATGAGAATGTGTTTATTTCCATCACTCCATTTCAGACTACAAAGGCTCAAGTTCAAAACTTTGTTTAAACTACATCTGTGGATTCCGCTGCCCCCCCAGGAACTTCTGTGAAATACAGCTCTGTGAGGAGGGCAGGGCTGGAAGCAAAAGAGCTGCACTCAGGGAGGGAGGTGGCTCTTACGCTTGACTTGCTTAACTAAATCAAGACTGTGCATTTTAGCTGAAGAATCTGGCATTTACTGTAGGAGGGCTTTATATTGCTTCAGCTTAAAGATTATTGCTGTGGTACTTCTCAAAGTTATCATTTCTTTTAAGTATAGTGATCAGGTTTACTTTATAAACGGTATATATAATTACTTGCAGTGTTTGATGTAGTTTGGTTGAGATTAAATGGTAATCTGAAACGTTTTTATAGCAAAATCAATTTCCCCATGGTAAAATTTAATATTTTACAAGTTTTTCTGTGCTAAACTCAAGAATATGGCTAGGATGTGATGAAACAAACAGTAAAAGAGTAGAATTCATCCTATCTGATCAAAAAAGCATACATGGTTTCAACTTCATCCCTCTTCCCCTGGCCTCCAATCTAGTAATGACTATATTGAATCTTAAGTTGTGGTTAGAGTAAAATTGGAATTATAAATGTGCAGTTTTTGCCAGACTTTAAATCATGTTGCGTATGACTTCTCGAAGGACCCTCTCATTTTCTGGAGAAATTTGGTGTTTAGGTCAGTGGAAGAAACTGGCTGACCCCAAATTCTCTGCTCTGTTATGTATTTGGCAAGGATAATATTACATCATTTTCCCTTCATCCTCTTTAAAAATAGTACTGTTAATATGCTTTGCATAGAGATAACACTAAAAGAGGAGTCAGTTTACTTCAAAGCAATAGAAGTAAACCCTAACTATTTGTTTTGTAGTCTGATTTCATTTTGATTTGCCATCTAATTGAAGGCATTTTCTTTAAGTCATATAACTAGAAAATAATATAATGCAACTACTACATGTTTTTATTCTCACATGAGTAAAATAATGCACTCGTTAAAAAAAAAGTCAGTTGGAGGTTTTGAAAGTGGGAAATGGATTTGTGGCTGCTTTGAACATTTTTTTCCTTATTGCTGATTTTGCATTTGTTAAACCCAACCATGATCATTAACATTACCTTTATGTTTCTTAGCTATTCCATTTTGCAATAATTGTGTGAAACTTGGAGAAACAACTCCATGGCAGAAATGTCTGCTCTTGAATTAAAACTACTCCAAGCTCTTCATAGCACATTCCTAATTTAGTTTTTCTTTTGGATATAAATGTAAATCTTTATTTTTATGGAAACACTAGTTAAGACGTTTCTTCCTTAAAGTCATTCATTAACAGTATTTTAAAAGAAGGAATGGAAGATGTAAGGCATGTTAGCAAGTTTTTTTAAAAACTTTATTTTCTAAAGCTATTCAACTGTGCCTTCTCCTTGGTCTTGTAATGTTACTGTCAGTTTGGGTTTTTGACCTGGTATGATCCTGTGTGAAATGATCAATCACTCTGTTAACTTGCCTCTAGAAAGTTCCCCTGAATAACTTGCCTTCGACCAATATGTGATTGGTACCTTAAAATTCTAGTGTGTGCAACCATTGAAGGAATGCCCGGTGTTTAAAGTATGTTTACAAAGAATTACTTATAAAATCAAAGTAAAGAAGGGAGAAGTTTGCTTTGAATCAAAGGATATATCATCAAGACTATACAGAAAGAAGCCAATGTGTACAAGAGTGTTTTGTTTTTTTTCACTCTAATTTCCTTCCCAGTTTATAAGACACCGAAAAAATGCAAGTGGACCCAATTTATAGTTTATGAAATATTTTATGTGACATTTTATTTTTTAGCTGTTTTGATTGTTTAATCAACTCTATGTAGAATTGGTTCATTTTGCTGAACAAGTACATCTCAACAGTAAATTAAAATTAGGTGAAGCCAGTAGAGACCACTTTGCCTCACCTCCATTGAGACTGCCACATGGGGATTAGCTAGCAAGTGACCCAAATACAAGCACCGGATGGACATTTACGAATGCCATAGGGAAAATTGCTTGCCAGCCATCTGTCTCTTAATGGTTTCCATGTAAATGTATATTTTTGGCTGTATTATTATATATTCAATTTACATTGTCTTGTCATCTGCACTTAGTTTTTCAGTGTTATTGTGCCCCTGCTGTAACACTGAATTCCTTGCTGCTATAATTATGAAATACCTACAACCTTTTGTATTCCGGTATGAGATAGGAGCACGGTTTGTCTCTCTCATCTCCTTGTTGCTGTTTCGCA